GTGGTATGCAGTGCAACGTATTCTATCGGAGCCCAGAAGTTCGGCTAAGTTGTCAAATAGTTCAGATTCAAATAGTGCTCCTCTATCTGTCTTTGTTGTAATAGGTGTACCAAAAATTGTCATCCAGTCCTGCATGAAAATCTTGACCACTGCTTCGGTTGTCATATCAGTTTTCTGTGTGGTTATAGGGAATTTCGCGAAACAATCTATACAAGTAAACAAATAGTTAAAACCAATCGAACGCGGTAAAGGGCCTGTCCATTCGATATGCAAATGGGCAAACCGGGCATCTGGTTGTGAGAAAACGCCAATGGCTAAAATTGTGTGAAAATTAAAAGGTTCGGAAGAAAGCATAGAAGACTGATTTGTAGTACATCCAAAATTGAATTTCTATCAACCTACCTTATCTGATATAAATGATTTATCAGCAGCAGCAAGGTCATTTTCTCTAATCCTCGTCGGTGATACCGAGATTTGAAGACCAATACGCGGTATGTCAGATAGAATGATTTAACAGGATAACCTTAATTTACTGGTTGGTTGTATACGTAGGTGTTCATTAGAAGTTAATTCTAGCAAGGATAATGTTATACAACTAGATAATTGAGAAGACTTATATCAGCACACCATTAGTGAGACTCCGAAACCTGAAGTAATGGATCATTAAGGTCTATGAGTGATAATAAGCAGCGACCTTAGAACTACGAGTAACTGTCAAGCTGGCGCTGCCAAGTGCTTAGGGGTTTTGTGAAAAATTCGTAAGCCAGTTTGGTACTTGCACAAAAAGATATTAAGAGTATTATGCCCGAATTTTTTGAGGCAACACTTGAAGTATGAAGGTCAAGCAGTGAGTCTTTGTTTCAAGTATGATACTGACATGCCAGAGTTAAAAAGCGAGGGAACAAAATGGTAAAAGGTCTCTCTGGCTTATCTTTTGAATACAGACTGCACCGCCTCAACCCATTTTTGTTATCTTACAGCAGGTAATGGGGTGGTTTAATACTGGCTTATAATACCCTGAACGATGATCTTGGTATTATTGTATTATTTCTTTTCTTCATCTAGAATTGGTTACCTGAGAGCACACTCTAAGAAATTTCAAAAGCCGTAATCAAATCGTTCCTGACTGGAGTTTCTTTTTTTGTACCGAAAAGTGAATTACTGAAGTTCTCAACCAGAACGCACAGGCCATGACCAATAATAATAGCGGTAATGTGTGTATGTATTAGTGCAACCAAAAAATTATTTCAGTTGATACAGAAAAACAATAGATATGGGATATAAATGCGATCACACAGTGTCACGAATAAGGGAAAATGCGATCTTCATTTTATCCTTGCAAAAGTCATTGAATATACATGCCTCTATTATTCATAGTGAGACTCGTCCTGAACCTTCCGGAATCCCACAGTACGCTTGACGCGACTGTGGTTACTACTCCAAAGAACGTCAACGATTGGGTACGGGTCGAAAGGAAAAAACGGCAAAATGATGTAAAAGGGATTCCTACTTCTACCAAAAGGGTCGAAAAGCGGAAGTTTGATCACAGCGACAGATCAGTCATTTTCCATAGAGTCAAGGAGAGCGACAGTTCAGAACCGAAAGCTCGTTTTGAGCATGACATTGTGTTGATAAAACAACTGCTCAACCAAGTTATGCCCCAAAACATCTCCGGAGTCACCTTGCTAAAGGTGTATAGACTAGGAAACCTGGCGCTTCTGAAGCCTAATCAGTCTAGACTGCTCAATGTCGTTTTCAAATCCCCAGACGAACGAGACTTGATCTTAGAAAATGGACACAAATTAAAGGGTTCAGGAGTTTTTCTCCGTAAGGACTTACCGTTGGCGGACCGTGTAAAAAGACGGGTAGCCGAAAAAGAACTACAGCTCAGATTAGACGCTGGCGAAAAAGACCTGAAAATTGTAAATTTTTGGGTTGTGAGGCTTCGGCAGAGGATGATGCCGAAGCCACTCTGGGTGAAGCACGAGGCCACTTAAAAAGGCTTCAGATCTGTTATACCAATGCCCGGAGCTTACTCAATAAGCTACCGGAACTAGGTGTATAGATTGACTCAACTAGGCCAGACATAATCGCAGTCACAGAAACTTGGCTGACGCCGTCTATAGATAGTAGGGAACTTGATTTCGAGGGTTTTACATTAGTAAGGGCCGATAGAATACAAACGCGTAAAGGAGGGGGGTAGCTCTATTCATTAGGAATGCTATTGCATTCACCATTATCGACAGTGTATCCCATGAGAGTGGGACGTATGAATTAGTTAGCTGCCGCCTGAAATGCAGGGGACAAAGGTTGCTGCTTAGTTTGATCTATCGCAGTGCAAGCTGTGAGGTAAACGAGGTCCTGCTAAGCAGTCTCAACACTTTATCACGAAGTGATCGATGTCTAATCCTAGGGGACTTTAATGCACCCATGGTGGGGGGAAATTCGCTGACTGAATCGTCAGCAAATTCTTTCGAACAGGAACTAGTTGATGTGGTAATCACATGTGCCCTAGTGCAACACGTGAAGGAAGCAACTAGGTACGACCCGGGTTCTGCATCATCCCTACTAGATCTTATATTGACTCATTATGAGGATGACATTGCAAACCTGGATTACATGTCACCCCTAGGCAAAAGTGATCATGCAGTTTTAACCTTTGACTTCCATATAACTTTCGATCACGAAAACGCCCCAGCTCAATCCAGACCTAACGTCTGGAAAGCAAACATACCAGACATCATGAAATCAGCATCATCAGTAGATTGGAAAATAGACCCAGAGTCATCAATCGAAACGGCTTGGGACGTATTCTGGAATTTATACTTAAAAGTTACCGCCCCCACATCCCTTGGACTACACCTAAGGGGCCGAGAAACTCCCCACCGTGGTTCAGTAGGGAGGTTCGCATCCTTCTCCATAAAAGAAGGAAAATGTGGGATAAATTTAGGTTACTGGGGAATGATGAGGCAAAATCTCAGTATCAAAAGGCTCGAAATACCTGTGCCTCGACCCTCCGTAAGGCCAGAAAGCTGTACGAAGAGAAAATCGTTAGGGAATCCATGGAATGCCCTAAACGCTTGTATTTGTATATAAACCAAAGGGCAAAAGGAAGAAGAAATGTTCCTTCACTATGGGGAGACAGTACTGCCACATCACTAGTGGAGGACGACTTTGGCAAAGCTCAAGTATTCTCTAAATACTTTAGCAATGCATACACCCTAGAAACACCCTTCTCACCAGTCCATGAAAATCCCCCCACACAAGCACTGGACAGCGTGACCATTAAAGAACTCGATGTCTTTGGTCTGCTAGTTAAGCTTGACATAAGTAAATCCACTGGACCCGATGAACTGCATCCTAGGTTGCTAAAGGAATTAGCTAACTTTGTTGCAAACCCTATAAGTGTATTTTTTAATCTATCCGTAACCCAGGGTAGTCTACCAAAAGACTGTAAGAACGCCATAGAAAGTTCAGTCTTCAAAACAGGTACAAAACATAAGCCTGAGAATTACCAACCAATTAGCCTAACTAGTGTGGTTGTTAAAATCTTAGAAAAGATTATTAGGAAGGAGCTGTTAAAGTATCTCGATGAACACTGGTTCCTCTCTGAAAAGCAGCATGGTTTTAGAACAGGTTACTCCTGTCTCACAAACTTATTAGTCGCTCGTGAAAGCTGGTGCGCTCTTAAAGACCAAAAGTTACCTATAGAAGTAGCATACATCGATTTCAGCAAAGCTTTCGACAAAGTCCCGCATAACCGGCTGCTATATAAGCTAAAGAATGTCGGGATTGGAGGCAATCTATTGATGTGGATAAAAGACTTCCTAGTTGGGCGTCAACAAAGAGTAAGGGTGAACTCCAAGTTGTCTAGCTGGGAAAATGAGCTTAGTGGAGTCCCCCGGGGTACAGTTTTGGGGCCAGTGTTACTCCTCCTGTACGTAAATGACCTCCCTCATCTACTATCGTCATCGGTTTTACTCTATGCTGACGATGTCAAGATATGGAGAGCGATACAAAGCAAGGGCGATAGCTTAGAACTTCAAAATGACCTGAATGATCCCAAACCTGGCAATTGCCGATAAACACTTCCAGGTGTATTGTGATGCATATTGGCAACCAGGGTACAGATATATAAACGATGAATAACACTGAGTTACCTATTGTCCAGGCACACAATGACTTAGGCGTCATTGTTAGTCAAGACTTAAAGACTACTGCACACTGCCGTGCAATAGTCGCCAAAGGTTTTAGGACTTTATGGTCCATACGCAGGGCTGTTAGGCATCTCGACGCTAAAACGTTTCTGACTTTGTATACAGTGTTCGTACGCCCTAAACTTGAGTACTGCATACAAGCAGCTAGCCCCTGCCTAAAAAAAGACAGTGAAGTCTTGGAAAGGGTTCAGAGAACAGCAACTAGGCTGATTCACGGAATAGCGAAGCTCCCGTATGGTACTAGACTGACCAAGCTAAACCTATTCCCGCTGTCATATAGAAGAATCAGAGGCGACTTGATTACAGTTTTCAAATTGCTTAATGACAAATTTGCACCTGATATGCCCTCATTTTTCTTGTCTTCCAAAACAGAAAATCTACGAGGACACTCCAAAAAAGTTCACAACCCCAGAACGAATTACTTGTCAGCTGACTACCGACTTTCCCATCGAATAATCAACGAGTGGAATTCATTACCTCAGCACGTGGTTGAGGCTCCACCCGTCGACTCCTTCAAAAGAAAGTTGAATCAGCTGAGAGACCATCATTGACAGGACTAACACAGGCCATCAAGCCTCCTGTCCTTTCCAAACTGAAACTGAAACTTCACAGTGCTACAAACTACACGGATTAATATAGGTTGATAGACCCCGTATCCTCACTGCTGATGTATTGGACGAAGAGGTGAAGGTCACCCACTCGTTTTCAGTACTTACGCTATAAAAATCAGTAACACAATCCATTACTTTGTGACCTAATTACGTAACTTAAGAGGAGTGTGTTATGTCTTCTGATGTTATTCTAAATTATTACGAGTCCCTTCTGCACAGAGATGACCTAGATACTTTGAAGGAGGGTTGTTTTGTCAATGACAACATAATCACATTCCAGCTTGAGTATCTGCGCCATACAAAATTATGTCACTCGTCAAATATCCTTCTTATGGATCCAGCAGCATCTCAACTTTTAAAACTTATGGATGAGGAATCAATTAGATTGGTGCTGGATCCTTTAGAATTCAAGTCAAAGGATTGGATATTTTTAGTGATCAATGATTCTGCTTCACGAGTTTCATCTGGTGGATGCCATTGGTCACTGCTGGTTTATTCACCACTTCTTATGCACGGTTTTTACCTGGACTCCTTGAACTCTAGTCCTAATTTTTCAGAAGCTTTTACTTTGTGTAACAAGTTATGCACCTATTTAGGTGTTTCTTTTGTAGACATAAAGCTACCTAATGTCGTAAAGCAAAATAACGGATATGATTGTGGAATATTTTGCATGGTATTCATAGAAACAATATGTGATATGATATTGAAGGGTGATATGTCCTGGCAGATGAGTCTGTCCACTGACATGGTTTCCCATCAAGTGATGCACAAAAGGAAATCGTTACTAGAGTGTATCTATGGCTTATCCACAACAAATGCGTAGGCTTTTCGTCAAGGTTCCCAGAAGGATCGTGACCCAACAAACATAAGCAGACCTGAGGTCTGTTTGGTGTTTTCCATTTACAGACTCTTCGTGTGTTAAATTTTATCCTAATATACACTGTAAAAAATATTTCTTCTGTTCACAAGTTATAGCCAATTATGCGTTTGTCTGGTTGGGGTCATTACACAGATGGGGATTAGGGTGTATTTAGACCTCCTTTTTGTATGAACTGTCCTTATTCTACATCTCTGGTGGGTCAATTAGTCCCTTTAGGTTTTGCAGATGCTTTCAAGGCAAAATAGTAAGTTGATTTCTCCCTAAGATCCTCACATGTCCACACTTGTATAATGAAATACCTTGATAACAGTATTCATCACTTGCTTCATCCATGGTCTTGGCCTATATTGACCTAGATATTCTCTATAAGCTCTATCACCACTTCCTTTAATGTCTTTTGTTATCCATGACAATCAGATTAACACAATCAGCCTCAAGCAATATTAGAGAAGCAAATAAGTAAGTTCCTGTTCTAGTCACTGAATCTCAGAAATTTATAAATCTAGGCTTATGAGAACTAAGTAATTCTCCCATAAATCCGGGGCACCTCAAGTCGTATATACCAGACTTTAAAATAATCTTGTTGCAGTAATTTTCAGCAAATAACAAATCGAGAGAACTAACTTTTGTTTTATTAGTCATGGATTTCGTGGCTAGGGAAAAGATAACATTGATTTCCATGCTAGAAAGCTTAGACTATATATAACTTCTAGTCAAACGTTTTGGGTATTTGATATCAACTCCCTTACGGTGACGATCTTTTTTGGAATTGAATGGGGTGTGCTAAACACTCCTCAAGCCACAGGATTGTCGGAACCGCCGTTTTTAAGTTGGTAGCTTTGTTATTTGCAGGAAAATGAGGAATGGGGTAAGCCTTTCACTAAAAGTTAAGATGGACTGGATGGTGTGATATTCAATGTATGATCTATATGGTACTTACTTACTTACGCCTGTTACTCCCAATGGAGCATAGGCCGCCGACCAGCTTTCTCCAACCCTGGGCATGATCTATATGGTAGTTGCAAAAAACTGTGTGACGTAGTCGCGTGACAGTTCAACTCACCACACTTGATAGGAGGATGATAGGTAAAATTCTTGTGGTAAAAAGAGGAAATGGATTTGTGAATGATAATTCTAAATCCAGGAATAACCCAACAAAAAGTGAAAAAACCAGTGATAAAGGTTAAAAGAATAATACGCTCCTGATTCAGAGAAACAGTAATTATATCTGCGTTGACACTACTGATTATAGATGGTCTCCTAGCTTCTTTGGTACTACTGGCCTAATATGTTGCTTATGTTAGTAATTATCATTAGTTCTAGCTAGTGAAAAATTTGCGTGTTAATAAGTCCCAGGTGTACATGGTGTTATTTTTAGCCAGCGATGAAGTTGCGAATGCTGTTATGTGGGTAATCGAATCTACAATGACTATTTCCTCTCGATAATAAACTTTTTAATGCTGAAATAAAGTTGTCATTTCAGTAATAAGTTCAATGCTATATATTCTTTTTTGTCTTTGAACCATTAAAGTGAGAATTTCAAAGGAATGGTGTTGAGGTTACTATCGATGTTCACTTGGTAACCAATCATCATGATTTCCAGGGTAAACTTGCGTATGGATCTTATTGTGTTGTTCCCCAAGGGTATTCTACGTCCAGCCTAATTCTACTTCAGCGTGGATGTTTTTTATGGATTAGTTTTTGTCACCAACACAAGTATTAATCACTTACTTGGAGATTATCTGGTTTTTAATGTATTCAGATACCTGTTTAAATGTTTAACTAGCAAATGCGATAAGTTTTCCCATGATTTCTACACTTATCAAGTATGGTATTTGATCCTGCTCATCCCTAACATAAATGTAGAAAGCTAGTTGAATAATCCCTTTTTTCGTCCTCCTCATATAGGGGTTAACGCTGATTCTCATCGAGAAAACATAGAGCCACACAAACAAACCACTTCACCCGTAAGACAAAATCTTTGAAGTTAAAGTGTGCTCTTAAACGGTTCGCATCTAGAACTGCTTTGAAATGCAGTTAGGAGGTATTACAGCTAAAACTGATCAATTATTCTGTAGTGTTCTATAATATTATCTGTGTTTGTAAGTCACAAAAGATTGTGTATCCAACTGATACTTTGTTTTCTGCTGAGATTATTCTTTTTCTTAATAATTTTTTTCATCGTAGCAATTTTGTTACCTGTAGATGATTAATTCCACCAAATGTATTCATCCAATTGTTTATTGGGGTCAGTCGGAAGAATATATATTTCTTTCTATTAAAGTAGCCAATGCAAATGTATGTTCACCTTGATCTTCAATCAGTAGATACTTAGGTTGATTCGATTACTATCAACCAAGAAGAGTTTATGTTTTCTGCAATGGGCACTGGAGCTGATGGTGTTAAGAAATATGAATTTTCTATTTCATACTATCTTCCTATAATCCCTGAAGTAAGTTCTCATGTTTAAGATGTGTTCGATTTAATTCCATTTTCTTTTTATTTATCACTGCTAAATCTCTATCAAACTACCTCATCGTTACAATAATTAAACCTGCTTATTTCATTTCACCTTGGTTATACTGAAAGAGATAATTGCTTCTGTGATTAGAACGTTTCCTTTTATATGATGATAAAATGCTCTGCAAATTAATCACCTACATCATAGAAAGGAAATTCAGGGGTCATTATCAGTTAAAAACCTTCAGCAAATAGATATCTTAACGAAATGAAGAGAAAAAGTTGTCAGTAAAAATAAAAATGAGGAAGAACGAAAACAAATGAAAAGTGGATTGTGTTTTTGCTATACATAATAGGCTATTTGGTTTTACGCTAATCTGTTAGAGGATATGATCAATACAGAACTTATTTTGAGCCATTTCTAAGTGATCTCAATAAACGTGTATCATTTTAAAAATTCGTCAATAAATCTCAGACTTTCTCATATGGCTTAAATCAATGACCGATAACTTTTTTATCTATCAAGTTTAATTCGATGTTTCAGATCGGAAATGATAGTGGGTGTATATGAATATAATGCATCCTAATCACCATGCTAATTATTTCCCGTAATTCATCAGCTTACAAGTTTAAAAGAAGTAAATTAATCTACATCAATTTGTCATAAACTATCTTAGTATAGTTTGCGGCTGTAGTGTTAGACATGAATCATTAAATTGTAATCTCTAAGATTTGAATATAATAACGCACTAACAGTTTTTCTACTACTACTCCTTAGTGTTTTATTAATTATTTACCTCACTCCATTTTTTATACCTGTAATATATTGCAAACGAGTATCATTTTTAAGTGTATATAAGCTCTATGTAACAATGAGTATTCTTAAATAGGAATAATATATTTGTAAAATCTCAGCGAATGAATTTTTTTCCTATTTAATGTCTTACTTCAACTCGGCGCTCAAATACTGTGAAACTATTCGTTCTAATTTAGACGAGAGTTCTTATATAAATGAGTATTCTTATCACTGAAATATCACATTATGTTTGATTAACACAATTTACTTATTTATAAACGTTTATCTCACTAACATCACAACCCGTGTATTAACTTCCTAGGAAAGTCGATATGTCGTTACAAGTTTATCTGTTAATGTTAAATTACGAAAAGAACTTAAAGATTCATGGTCAAGGTTAACATTAGGAAATCAGCGCCTGCCTTGGGTTCGCCCTGATTTCGATCGTTATCAGTTTAATGATTCTGATTTGGAAAATAATGAAGAAGAATGTCTCAATGTTAACGTTGTACATCCATCAAAAGAGGAGAGAGTAAGTTTATATTACAAACATTTTGTAAAAACATGTGTTTTGAATTCTTTGTCCATTGTTTTTATTTCCAGTTGTATTGGTTTAATTATATTGTTTTTAGCTATTACTTTCAAAATCGAAAGGTAGTTCACTGCACCAAAACAATATTTAAACTATTACACAGAGATGTTTTGATGAATATGTCTGTTTATTTATTCATTCACAAACATCACTTGACAAAATAGGTGAATAGAAATAATTATTATTAAGGATTGTTTTTATGAGTAAATTTCTTTTGCTTAGTGGTTTTCTCATCATAATAGATTAATCAGATTGATGAAATTTCGATCAGGGGAATTATGACAACTTGAATCGATGTAAAGCACTATACCAGGATTTTTATTTATTTAACTAATCCATTAGGCTTTAAAGTTGATGAAATACACATTAATTTAAATATCATAATCGAAATACTCAGCCCCCAAATGCCCTGGTATGGCCGAGAGTGGGGAGAGTCCGCTCTCCCTCTGAAAGTGCTCTCACATGGCCACGCGTATACAGCTTCTGCCAGGGAAGTCCTACTCACTGCCTTCTCGTGGCGGGAATGTTTACGAAATTGAGAGGACGAAAAGCGAATGTCCGACGCTTCAACCGTGTTGGTGGACACGGAAAGTCCACCTAGGGGGGTTGGATGCTGCCCAGAACGGCAACAAAAATTTTAAAGTTAAACCGTATTGCTCAGAGATCATAACCTATTCACCTAATGGGGGGATTTTCTTTATCATTGCAAAACAATGTGTTACGATTAGTTTCGATTTATATTTAGCTTGACCTAGTGATTAAAACGGTTTGAGAAGTCAGTTAATATACATGTAGATTATGCAAGCATCAAAATCAAGCAACATGCAAAGGTTTCACGTATGTTTGACCATAAGTTTATTCCCAATAGAACAGACAAATTACCCATTTTATTCAACCGAATGTGTTCACTGTTGTCGAGTTTTATCACTATTTCTTTAATGTAGCATTTAATTTCCTTTTTTATGATGTGTTTGGATTTTAGGATAAGCATAATGAAGAACAAATGATGCTTATTGATGCTGAAGAATGGGAGGCATTTTTGAATCGTAAGTTGTACTTGATATTATGGGCTAGGCTACTGAAACTAGTCATAAT